AATCTGTGGTCGAAGAAAATGAGGGGTTGCTGATGTATAGGTTCTATGCCGGAAAAAGATTGTCTGGGTTCCAGAAAAGTGGTAACTTTGCACCACGTAGTAGATCTGGTGCTTCTCTATAGTTTAAAGAGACTATCTGGCATTTCTCTAGATTTGATGTAAGGCCGTTTTATTGTCCCCGTTATTTAGGCGGTGCTAGATCTCTTTGCATCTCTTGATAGTAGGTTTAATATCTCATAACTCTATAAAGTTCAGTGTAGTTCTCAAACTTAAAGACTGATGAGTTACGATATTCATAAGGGTCATCAGTTGATAGGAAAGGTGACAATGGGTTCATTATATATGTTTGAGAAGCTCTGGATACGGACGCTCTTAAGCTTTATTGTAACCTAAAAACTTTAAACAAAAGCACTTGATTTTGTAAACAGTCACTTAGTCACAATAAAGTGAATCCCTGAACCCCATCACTCGAACCCAGCCTAGAGGAAGGAGTGGAGTGTTGCATTATTTGTCTTGGCGAAGTTCAAGAACAACGAGTGGACGGGCACTTTCTGATCCAACAGTCTTTCCAGATGATTGGAGTCTGTCAGTGATTGTTTATTGCCGGTGATTACCTCTCGTTTTCTATTTGGAAGACATGAGACCATTGGTTACAACATGTTTTCATTCAGATCGGGGAACAGAACAGTTGGAGTGCCAAGTTACACTTTCAAATACATAAAGCTTTCAACACTTTAAAATATAATGGGATATATGATGCCCATTTAAGATAAGAGAATAACATCAGTGTGAACCCGACAGATGTCGGATTTATTAAATCATCCAATTAAACATATGACATTTAGTCTGTGCTGAACACCTTTTATAACTTTGTTTGCAACCAAAGATACAGAAAGCACTTGCAAGCCGGGAACAATCAGAACAAAACGAAATCAATAATTGCTTCAAATGGCCCGTTCTGCCTTCTGCAATCATTTTTTCCTCATGTATTCCACCGTGTTTTTTTACTTTACTTGTGCATCATCTATGAGGCGCCGCTTTTAAATGACTTCATGGACATTCCTTACTGCAGATTGATAAGCTTGCCCACGACAACCTCATAAAAGACTTATAGGTGACTTTTTGATGTCTTATATCATCGTTTACATTATAGGACATACTCCAATATATCTGATTAGGCACAGACCCAGTACAAGCCGCGAGAGTAAAATCAAGAAACTAGAGGCATAACACTTGCTTTCAAGTTTCGAAATTTGCAATTGTCTAAAATGATCCAAAACACATGAGTGAAGTCTTTCGAGAAGAGCCTGATATAGCTGTAACGACTCACGCTAGTGTTTCACGAAAAGTTTTCGCTTTCAATTTACTCCTTGTTTCATGCAACCAGGTTTTTACCAAGAGGCATCGGTAACTGATTACGAATAAACACAGCTCGTTGATCAAAACTCCTTGAAACCACTGTAACCATCAGAATATACGATATTAACTAGCCTCAAATCTATCGCTATCTAATGGCCTTAAAAGTACACATATAGGTCCCACATTAGTAATGAAAAAGATTAATTATAGCTTCCTCATATTATCAGACATCTAGTCAATCTTCTGAGACCAAAGAATACTGGTTCATGTTGCTTTTCCTCGACTACATGTAAGCGATATATAAGGTACCGAATACAATACTTATAACGAAGATAACGATAATTTGCTTCGCTAACCCTCTTCTGATTGGGTCTCGAATCTACCTAGAGATCAAGACGTTCCGCACACGAGCTGGATGGTCTTGACATCAGGGATTTCTCTGAAGATCATCCCAGAGGCTTCTCCTATTATTGACTACTTAGACAAAATTGGCTTAGTGGTATGAATCTATTGTAATCCACTGTCCAAAACGTACTCACGGCATCACCTTGGAAGCCATGGCGTTATTGCGCCTCCTGTCCCCAAAGAGACGCCTGTTACCTACATCAATTATTCCTGAGCTATAGGGGAATAAGGGGCGATATAGAAATGTCACGCAGCATATGAATTTTTTCAGGACAGCGTAACATAAGAATACTAGCAGAACATCGATATTAGATTCCTCGAGGAAATTACTAAACATTTTTTGTCAAGGAGCGAAAACGTATTTAGGCCACCACCTTTTCTCATTAAAAATGAAATGTCACCTCAGTCAAAGGGACTGAACACCCCTCAGTGGATAACTTCATGTGGAGGCTTGATAAACACGTACTTACCCATGGATTACTGTCTCTCGCTTGGACTAGCTATATCTGATGCATGTCTGGTAACAGACTTTGGTTATTTTCATCAGTTTTCATTAACTTATTCCGAATTCATTAACTATTATTTTCGTCTAGTCTTCTAATGTTACACTATGGCAATTCGTCTGCATTACAAAATTATCAGCCCACCTATTAACCTGAATTGTTCTAAAAACAGTCGCTCCAAATCTCAACCAACCACTTGACAGCCTGGAAGTCTAATAACTTCAGGTATTCGTAATCCCTAATGCACTCGCTCAGAATAAAAGATATACAAAACCATAAATAACTATCAAGCTGACTCAAATTTGAGTACTTGAGTGGTTGAACATGAAATTGTACCTAAACAACAAGCAATGAGAGCGACGAAATCAATAACTTTATGCCAGCTAGTCATATGAATATTTAATATCGGATGAACTGTTGAGACGCCATCGTGGCATTCAGTTTTACCAGTAAAACTGGAATCGACGACGGTAAGCCAGACTTTCAAAGGAAGTCGACGCTGCGAGCCTTCAAGCTACCGACCGGTGACTCTTCTCCCCACACATTAAAAAAATATGGATTCCCTGATATTCAATCGGTGAGTCAGCTACAACGTAGGACCAGGCACATATATGCATCGGTCCAAGTTGCCATACCTCATTAACACAACAAAATATGCGGTGTTATACACGACTATTTATTGTTTTTAAAATTCTTTTGACCCCAAGAGCATGGTTTCAAGAAGGGTGATTATTGTATGACCAACCTGCTGACTGCAATATACGACAATCCTTGATCTCAAGGGGAAGGTTGACGTTATTTACGTTGACTTCTCAAATGCCTTTGGTAAGGTCAACCGTATATGTCTTATCAATAAGCTCGAACGATTAGATATCATATCATCTCTAACTGATTGCTTTACTTCATATCTAATATGTTGACATCTTAAGGTCAGGGTTAACCTTATTTTCTCTCGGGCTATGGAATGTTTTAGTGGTGTCTCTTAGGGTTCAGTATTGGAACCTCTTCTTTTCTTGACTTATATAGGCAATCTTCCACAGCAGGTATTGCCAGACTTATTACTTTTTGCTGATGATGTGAAACTCTGGGGAGAGATATGCAACCAAGAGGATAAACTGGCACTTCAGGAGGATCTTACTCCATTTCGAAGTTGGACAGACGACAACGGACTTACTTATAACACCTCAAAGTGTAAAGAGACATGTTGTAAACTACAGCTAAAACTTAGGCAACTCTACTCTAGAGGTATTTCAAATTGAAAAATATCTAGGAGTATTGATACCCTACAATTTGAAGCCTTACGCTGAATGAGACAGCAATGTCTTTCTAGCCGATCTTGCACTGATAACATTGAAGCGCATTTTTCGCTGGTTCAACGAAAAATTTGCACATAATCTTCAACAGTTTTGATCCACCTATTTACAGAGTACGGAAACATAGCATCTCTTCCCTCACTGTGAAACGTATCCACAAAATCTGTTCGGGACCTCAAGCTTAAGCTTTATGAGGAGCGCCTCTGATCACAAAAACTTTACCCGTTAGAGTACAGGTGTTTTAGAGGTTATCGCTTAATGGCTTATAGTATCCTAAATACTTCTGAACATCTCCTTAAACACTTACTTAAGCTTTGTCCTAACACAAAACTTAGGGGTAACACATTGAAACTAGAGACTCAACACAGCGGTATGGGCTGTAGACATACCTTCTGCTCCTTAAGAGTAGTCAAAAAGTGGAATTCACTGCTGGCTGAGCTAGTACAAGCGATTTCTCAGGAGTCATTTAAGAGGAAACTTGACATATTCTTAAGGACTAAAGATAGTATCTTACAATGATAAATCAACTTTTTTCTTTTCCCTCTTTTACCACTAATATACCTAGATGCCCGCCTGGAGGTGTTGGTGGTCCACTGCTATTAGATACGGAAGCCCGTTAAGCGAAAGCTTCTTATATTCCGTCCAAAATCATTCGAACCATTTGGTTGTTGGGTCACAATTTCGAATGGTGCGTTGCAATTGTTGTAGTTTTGCTTTGCTGTTTTTGTATGCTCCTGATAGAATGAGCATAATTAATGACCAATATAATTTTAAAACATACAGTGTTTGCATATTTTTTATCCTCATTCATAATATGGATGAAAATTACTGAAGTTAGCTATACTTATGTTTCCTAAAGTACCTACTAGCTAACAACTTTATGGTGACTATTATTTATGGACGACGTTTCAGTGAGATTGATGTGCACTGAGGCAACTCGCACCAGTTTTAATGCAAAAATGATATTGAACTACTTATATGAGTGAATTTCGCGCAGAAACCCATAACTTGCTATTCTTAATTTCATTGGTTTTTCCACAAACTATGGTCTCGCTAACTTATTTATTTGATTTCAAGGAACGTCGCGACATTAACTGCCAGTGAAATGGTGTGTGGTGAATTATGACCAAATTATATAAACTCAAGTTCGATTAGTGTCATACATGACTTCTTGAATAAGTGGGTAGACTTCTTTCCCATCTGTTATTCTTTTCCAACAACATTCTAAATTCACCCACAATAGAAGTGATCTATGTATGTATACGGAGAATATTTGGTTATATGGTTTGGTATACATCCAATGAGTGAAAATATCAGCAATAATTTTTGTTGCTGAATATAGACTAGACTTAAAGTTATTTTAACTTCCAAACATAGCTTACAGTCTTATCTCTGCTAAATTTAGGTGCTTGCCCTCGGAAGAACTCGCCCCGTTAGGTATTGATAAATTTCTCAGTGATATAGTCCATCTCAGCATTTTCAACTGTTACTCAAACGTGGCACATTACAACTAATTTATCTGCATCGTAGTGATGGATTATTGTTTGGCTTCACTAAGTAGACGTAATAATGATAGATCTGATGTCTTTACAATTGAGCGTACTTAGTTGTGTTCTGATAAGTAAGTGCAATTTTCTTCTGCTGATCTGTAAAGTATACTTACTTGCTGGTGATTGATATCGTCAGACTACCTAAAATGCAAATTAGGACGTGTTTGATTAAAAGCCATTTTGCTTGAGTTGTTCATAAAGTATTTAATGTAATCTATCCGTGGCAGTAATCGGAATGGGCATTATAGTTCTATCTGCACGTACAAATTACCGTCAATCACTGTTCTAATAAATCAAATTTGAGGTGTTATTCTGATACCATTGACTGAATAACATCAACAGCAAAGTGTTAAAGTAGGCTATTACGTCGATTTATCGGCAAATTACCGCGAACCTTTCGGTTCATATGCTTCATTTGATTTTGTGGTGTTTGGTTACGCTTTAAATACATATGATTTAGAATTTCAGTCATACTTGTTTTTAACGAGGTCTCATCAGTTCTTTGTTAACAGTTGTCAGCTCAATGACATGTTGATGCTCTTAATGTGTATCTGTTTAAACCACACTTATGTCATATGTGTGAGCATTCGCGGGCTAAAATCATCAGTTGTAAATGTTAAAATATAGGTAATAAGTCAAGCACAGTGCTTGAAAAACTGGTTTTGTGGGTTTTTGGACCGCCTGTGTTTTTAGATCAAGTCTTCATCAATATGTCGCGAATTATGAGACAGAAGTTGATTATTTAAAATTGGCATCAAATAATTCAGTCATTTGCCTACTTGTTATGCAAAGTTATATTTCCAACTGTCTGCAATCAGTTACATTTTCTATCTTTATAAAACTATATTAATTCCTCGTTTCAAAATATTGTTTTTATATTAGTTTGCTTTTTTCAGTTAAAAAGTCTTTTTAATGTTTTGTTTATGTAGTACTCGAGATGAATGGAAGGTTTTGTACGAATGATTCGCTTTTGCTATTCTTACTTAAAAATCCTGTTTTATGTTGGATAACACTGATTTCTTTAGTATATTGTCAACTAATTATATTTCAAAACTGCAATCGTACAAAATTTCAGATGACTAATTTGTTTTTCAATATTACCACAGGTTTAGCTGAATAAAATCATATCTCAAGTTGTATAACTCAATTATGTGGAGTTCTGAAAGAAAAATTGCTATCAAGCTTGTTCTTCTTACCATGTTTACTCAATCATTCTGGTCTGGATTTCAGTTTCTCACGAACCAGTTTATATATTATAGGTTACGTTTTACTCATAATAATTCGGATTCATGTTTTTCGGTAGTTTTTACATTTATATATAATTAACGCCTAAACGTTTTACACTTTTTAATCTTGTTTAACTTTTTCTGATGTTTTTTTAGACGAAAAACAGGGTTGCTTACTTACTTACACCTCTTACTCCTCGTGAAGGAGTATAGGCTGCTCACCAGCATTCTCCATCTAAGCCTATCCTGGGCAATCCTTTCTAGCTCCTTCCAGTTGTTATTCATCCTTTCCATATCTGATTCTATATCCTGACGTTATGTATTTTTTGGCCTTCCTCTTTTTCGCTTACCTTCAGGATTCCAAGTTAAGGCTTGCATAGTGATGTAGTTTGATGATTCGCGTAATGTATTTCCTATCCATTTCCATCGTCTTTTCCTAATTTCCACTTCAGCTGGAAGCTGGTTTGTTCTCTCCCAGAGAAGGCTGTTGCTGATGGTATCCGGCCAATTGGTGTTGAGTATCTTGCAGACAGTTATTTATAAATACTTGTACCTTCTTGATGATGGTTGTAGTAGCTCTCCAACTCCGTACAGTAGAACTGCCTTGACGTTCTTATTGAAGATTCTGACTTTGAAATTAGTTGAAGGTTGTTTTGACTTCCATATGTTCTCCAATTGTAGGAATGCGGCCTTTGCTTTGCCAATCCTTACCTTTACGTCTGCATCTGTTCCTCCTTGTTCATCCATGATGCTTCACAGGTATGTGAAGGATTCTACATCTTCCAGAGTTTTGCTACCAAGTGTGATTGGATTGATGTTCTCCGTATTGTATTTGAGGACCTTGGTTTTCTCCTTATGTATGTTGAGGTTTATTGGTGCAGAAACTGCATCTACATTGGCTGTCTTTATCTTCATTTGTTCATGTGTATGCGATAGGAGGGCTAGGTCATCTGCGAAGTCCAAATCGTCTAATTGTTTCTGAGCTGTTCATTGTATGCCGTGTTTTCCCTCAGATGTCGAGGTCTTTATAATTCAGTCGACCACCGGAAGAAAGAGGAAGGGAGAGAGTAGACAGCCTTGTCTGACTCCGGTTCTTACTCGAAATGCATCTGTCAGCTGTCCTCCATGCATGACTTTGCACTGTAGTCCGTCATATGAGTTCCGGATAATATTGACAATCTTCTCAGGAACTCCGTAGTGTCGAAGAAGTTTCCATAACGTCCTCCTATCTACACTGTCAAATGCGTTTTCATAATCGATGAAGTTGATGTACATTGAAGAGTTTCACTCAATTGATTGTTCGAAGATGATCCGTAGTGTCGCAATTTGGTCTGTGCACGACCTATTCTTACGGAATCCAGCTTGTTGATCTCGAAGTTGGGCGTCTACTGCATCTTTCATCCGGTTCAGCAACACTCTGTTAAAGACTTTCCCTGGTACTGACAGTAGTGTGATGCCTCTGTAGTTCTCACATTTGTTCAGATCTCCTTTCTTTGGAATCTTGATTAAGTATCCTTCTTTCCAGTCCATCGGCTTTCGTTCCTTCTCCCAAATCTTTTTGAGTAGAAGGTAAAGCATGTTTGTAGTTACTTCGATGTCTGACTTCAGTGCTTCAGCTGGTATGTTGTCGGGTCCTGCTGCTTTCCCGTTCTTGATTTGTCTGACGGCCATTTTGATTTCTTCCGTCGTTGATGGACTGACATCTATAGGAAGATCTGTGTGTTCTGCTTCGATGTTCGGTGGATTCATTGGAGCCGGCCTATTCAGGAGTTCCTCGAAGTACTCTACCCATCTGCTCCGCTGTTGTCGAATTTTAGCGATTGGCCTGCCTTCTTTATCTTTGACCGGTCTCTCTGATTTACTGTATTTCCCTGATAGTTTCTTCGTTGTATCGTGAAGCTGTTTCATATTTCGTTCTCTTGCAGCTTTTTCTGCCGTCGTTGCTAGTTCTTCCATGTATTTCTTCTTGTCGGCTCTAACGCTCTTCTTCACTTGCTTGTTTGATTTTATGTACTCAGCTTGTGCTTGGACTTTCTCTGTTCGTGTTCGGCTGTTGTTAATTGCTGTCTTCTTGTTCTTCCTTACTATGATCTTGTCCAGTGTTTCTATAGAGATCCATTCCTTATGATGATGCTTCTTGAGGCCGAAAACCTCTTGACACGTTGAAGTTAATGCTTCTTTGATATCTATCCAGTTGTCTCCCATAGTAGTTTCTTCTTCCTCCTTAGGCCCTGTAGGGCTTGGAACCTGTTGTTAAGAGCTATCTTGAATTCATTGAGTCTGTCAGTATCTCGAAGGAAGGCTGTATTGAACCTTTGTAGTGCTGTTTGTCCAGTTGTCCAGTTCTTTTTTAGCTTCAGTTTTAAATTGGCCACAACTAGCTGGTGATCTGAAGCTACGTCAGCACCTCTCCTGGTTCTCACATCTTCCATTGTCCTTCGGAATTTTTTGTTGATGCAAATATAATCTATTTGGTTCTCTGTAGTGTGGTCCGGTGAGATCCATGTAACCTTGTGTATACGCCTGTGTAGAAATATTGTGCCTCCTATGACCAATTTGTTGAATGCACATAGATTTGCAAATATCTCTCCGTTTTTGTTCCTCTCTCCCCGTCCATGTTGTCCCATAATATCTTCATATCCAGTGTTGTCTATTTCGACTGTGGCGTTTCGATCTCCCATCAGAATGGTGAGGTCGTTTTTTGGGCACTCCTCTATGATTGATTGCAGCCTATCGTCGAACTGATCTTTATCGTCGTCACTGCTATCAATGGTGGGTGCATAACAATGGATGACATTCATTGTAATTCCTTCCTTCTTTGTTTTGAATGATGCTTTGATGATTATGGACCCGTGAGATTCTCATCCTACAAATGCATTTCGAGCTACTTTGAACAGAATTAGAGCAACTCCCTGAGTGTGTGGAACATCTTCCTCTTCGCGACCGGAGTATAGGAGCATCTCTCCCGTATTTAGCCTTTGTTGTTCAGTTTGGGTCCAATGGGCTTCACTGATTCCCAGTACTGCCAAGTTGTATCTCCTCATTTCCGTTGCTATTTGACTGGTCGTCATGGTCTCCCAAATTGTCCGGACGTTCCATTTACCTATAAAAGTTGTTGCTCTGGTTGTTGGAAGGGACATCGGTCTCGTGACTTCCGAAGGAACTCGGCTTTCACCATCAGGCGTCATAGTTTTCTCAAATGAAAACCTTTTAACTCCCAGGGCAGAGTTTAAATGGTTTGAACTATTTTTTCTGGTTAGCGTTTTTTAGCGAGTTAGTTTTCTACGGGATGGGATCTGTAACACTATGTTCAACCCTCCTCCTTTACCCGGGCTTGAGACCGGTATAGCTCTAGAAGTGCTACAGGCGGAGTTAGGATTTCTTAGAGCATCTATTTTATTCCAGTTATCACCTAAAAGAAAAAGAGAAAGTAAGCAGATAATATTATATTCAAGTAAACCACATATCATACATTATTACGATGAGCATCTATTATTTATGTTTTCAAAGATGTGACACTTGTATGTCGAGTCTTGGAATTAATCTCAGGATAGAACTGAAGAAGTTAGTATTGGTTCCCTGCTTTTATAACTATCGTTCATGATTTTGATACGTAAACGCTTTATTAGCGAGTGAATTTCTCATTGAAAATAGGGATTACCTTTTATTATATATTTTTCTGCTTACTTTGAGCTGACTGTTGTTTTAATCCCTATTTCAAGACTTCTGAGTAAAAGTACTCATATTGACATTTCAGACTGATGAACTTGGTAACTAACCATTAAAAACACTCATTCCGAAGTCATGTTGTAGTAAGGGCTTTGGACTACTCTGAGATATCCAAAATAGTTCTATACAAAAGTTGCTAAGAATGCACAAAACTCAATAAAATGACTGTGTTTGATATACATAATAACTCTGTAGAGTTTTTCCTAAAATATTATTTGCATAGAAATTCCTGCTAAGCATCAGAACTGGACAAAATTAAGCCGTAATATAGCGAAGAGGAGAAAGACTACTGAAGACTTATTAACCTGCAAATATATCAAAACTATATCTGAATACGCCGATTTTTGTTTTATGTACACCAAACACATCAAATCTGAACGAATCAAACTGGATGAGGTTGAGTAGGTATTCTGAAATAGGTCAACTTGAAATTTAGTTGCTCTTCGTAACAATAAGAAAACAATTTGATATAATCATGTACTTGACTTTGATAACGGATTTTATTTTAATAAACTAACTTCTAAGACGTATTGGATATTTTTAGATTTTTCTTAGTAAGATTATTTATTTGTCTCATTGTCTTACGTTCTTATGGTTCTAGGTTTCTGAAGGACGCAGGTTTACCCTACGAACCATCTCCACAAAACAAGTATGTTGAAGGTTATTATGAGTGATTAGCTTGTTTAGTCGTTGTGGGATAAGTAATTATTTCAACCAGGGCCTATTTTTCCGCTGATAATTTAGAGCTTATTCAAAGTAGGAAGGAATTATTCGGTTGTTGTCCATGACAGTCAGTGTCCCATGAGGTACTTCATTTCTTCGTCGACTCGTGTTAGATGTAGTTCAGAATACAGTTGACGTGTTTACACCAACGTATTCTATTATTAACACTTTTTTCGTGACTATACATGAGTCAGTCATTCAAGTATCAGTGAAGCTTTGCTATATTATCATTTGTTGTGGAAAATTTCCTTTTGAACTTGGATTTCACATTGGAAGTTGACTTATTAGTTAATTAAGTAGTCATTAAAAATATACTGTTTTTACTAGGTAGGTGTTTATAAAGCATCAGTTTTCGAAAGTAAATGTGATATCTGTCAATGATAAGGTGATATGAAATTTCACTAACGGGTCATATTTTTACATTTTGAATTGGTGAATTTCCGTGGCCAGACAGCAAGTTAGTGACTTACGAAGTCAATCATGGTATCGAATGGACAGAAAGACATCAGTTTAACTTAATAGAAAAAGATCCACCGTAGTTACTGATCGTTTTCGGTTTACCATGAAATTGATAACAAGTATTTATTTCCTGTTTTCCATATTTTTGTGTTCTAATGATCCACTAAACATATTTTTCCTATAAACATAATTTTATTTCTCCAGTTTGATGATGGTATGTATTTCGTTCACTAACCTCATCTGATGACTTTACTGTTTTGATTAAACTGTTCACACCTATCGCACCCAACATCACTCATAAGCTGGAACTGTCGAGGTGTTTCATAACGAGTATGTGGTTATTCTTGGCCTTTTTAGTTTTTTTCTGGATACTCTACATAGTTCTTGAGTTCGGTGTTTAAGATCTCTACATAGTTATTGCCTATGTATTCTACTTCAAAGTACGTAAATATAGATAAGTTAATCGGTGCAAAAGTCTCGAAGCCTTGTGATACAGTATTTCACCGATTCGGTCATGCTGTTTCAAACTAGGAAGAAAGATTCATAGGTATTGTGTAAAAACGTCGAATTGTGTTGCTAATTCTGTGAGAGAGAACGCATAATTTTCTTTAAGCAATAAACGTATCGCCTTACATTTTAACGTATAGGTTTACTGTATCGTAGGCTATAGTTTGAGAAACATTTCATTCCAAGTCTAAGACTAGACAAAAGTTGTGCGCTCTGAAGGTAAACAGCTATTAACAGAACTATTTTTTTTAAAACTTTACTTCAAAACAAAGTATTGAGTGACAATTGAGGTAACTTTTTTTCACTAATAGATCCATTCCTGATCATGATAAAGAATTGAAAGATGAAGTTCAAAAGAGGACTGCACATTTACTACCCTTATTGAGTGCTTCATTATTAATTCCTGGACTTTTGTCGTCGTTTATAATCAGTTCACTTTCTGATCATTATGGTCGACGTGTAGCGATGGGAGTTTTGTTTGGTGGTTTAACTTCAAACATAATCGTTTCATGTAATGCTATCATTTATTTTAAATTTTTTCAACATATATGACTTCATATTATTGTGTAGCATAGTCTGTTATTTTGTATCAGTTGTTCAGTTTATACAGAGATATTTATTGTTTGTTTTAAATGTATTACTTTCTATAATTTATGATTTTTCTTATGACCTATGGATGTATCCATGAGTCACTCCATTAAAGGACCTAAACACTTTTGTCTCCTGATTAGTAAACTATAGAAGGTGAAATTATGGGTTTATTTATACATTAAAGAAAGCAAGGACTAGAAGTTTTTATATATTGTCATCCGTATATGCTCTTCAGTTCATTTACTCCTGTGAATTTGATTACATCAGTTTCACTCATATAACCTTGTCACTAAGTGTTTATGAAAATTTCCCTTCACTGTTTATAAATGGAATTATCTATGAATAGCATCATCCTTTATATTCTGGTCATTAGTGAACATCATATTACGATGCAAGGAAATATTGTCAGCTCTTATTCAGGTCCTGAATTAATTAATTTATACGATTCTATCTCGTATCCACGGTAAAAGTGATAATTCTTAACTGAACAGAGCACAATTTAATAGTATTTAGCGACTAATTGTTTTGAATTGCAACAGACAGTGTTATTCAAATTTTAGTCGTATCGATTACTTCAGCCATAAATTATAAAATCTCAGTTATATTTACTAGCTTTTCTAACTATTTCCTAGTACGAGACATTTTAGAAATGCACTAGATTTATTTACTTAATTTTATCATTGGTAAAATTTACATTATTTAACATTTTACATATTTTGTATTATATTCACATGAATTGTATTCTAGTGATTTTACCTATGGTTTTGCTTAATCTATAGGTAGCGCAGATATACACGCAGTAATACTACTTACACACATTGTATTATAAGTAGCGTAATCGACGCATAAGTATATTTAGAGGCTATCTTAAGCAATGCAGTAACAGTTTTTGTTTGCTTAGTATTAGTACTTTATTTGAAAATAATGGTTACTTCTTATGTTGTAATGTTTTTCAGCGCTTGTGATTTTACTTGAACTGAATTTATACTTATTAATTCTGGGAAATTTAACGTGTGGTTTTCTTGGCGGAGGCTTGCTTACATTTTCAGGTCAAATTTCAGTTTGCTTTGCTGATATTACTAAGATTCCTGATGAACAAGAGCCATTATTGGATAACTCTAAATGTCAACAAGCTTCATTGGAACGTCGACGACTTTCGTATATGGGAATTTACGATGGTGTTTGTGTTTTATCAAGTGCCGCAGTGGTGTCAGTTACAGGTAATAATTGAAATATAACTTTTTTTGTTTGAAATTATTTTTGAAATGTAGATCTTTTCTATGCTTTAACTGTGACTCATAGGATTTGTCCGTAAGTTATATTAACTTCAGTCAGTTATGAATTTCGAATAGGTCAACCTTCTAAACTAAATATTTGTAAGTAAACAACAATGTCTTATTGATCGATAATGAATATTTTGAATTAAGGCTGCATAATTCAATTTCTGATAAGGTCAAGACGATTATTGTTTATAAAAATTGTCTGATTGACCAAGTTGTTTGGTTATGAACGTAAGATGTTAAGTCTAAATTTCCATCTGATTTTTCGAAATGAACTTATTTCTGCTATCAATAACTCGTACTGACAAAGCCCAAAACTCCTAGTCACTTTGATTAGAGTCATATATTTCTGACTGGTACATGAAGTTCACAGCTGTTTCTCAAATACTTTGATACCTATCGGTGAATAGACGTTAAACCTAAATCTGTGAAGCACTTTCGGAATCTATAAGTAAAACAGCTTACGAAGATAAATATAGAGACTTTCTATAGACAAAATTTGCTTTACACTTCAGTTATGTGATTTAGTCTTTATTTTGGTGAGTAAAAATCCCGTAGCATATGTCCTTGCTAATTTCAGTTTATGCAAAAAGTGAAAATCATCAGTAACTTATCAATTTATACGATTACTTTTCAGTTGCTTATTATTTTTTTTGTATCTCATCAAAAACGTTTGGAATATTTTTATTGAAGTGTAACAACCATTTTTAACTGAGACTCGGATGTCCTGTTTGTTACTAGCGAAATAACTAATTGTTTACTATTGAGTTATTATACGAAGTAAATCCTCACTATAGACCAGTTCTATTAATTTAGTTTTGCTTCGATAATATTTCTTATTATTTTGTTGAAGTTACCGTTTTGTGACCCATGAAACTTGTTGTTGGCAATCATTTATATATTATTAACTAACCTATAAATAACTCGAAATTCCGGCAGGCTCTTGAGAAAGCTATAATATATTTTGTATGAGCATTCCATTTATCTAAATTAATGGTTGCTCTGGTTGTCAGAAGGGGCATCAGCCTCGTGACTTCCGAAGGAACTTGGCTTTCACTACGAGGCGTCATAACTCTTCTAAATGAAAACCTTCTAACTCTCAAGGCGGAGTTTAAATAGTCTGAATTATTTTTTCTGGTTAGCGTTTTTTAGCAAGTTAGTTTTCTACGGAGTCGGGTCGCTAACACTATGTTCAACCCTCCTCCTTTACCCGGGCTTCGGACCGGCATAGCTCTAGAAGTGATACAGGTGGAGTTAAAGCTGTACTATAACTTATTTATGAATATAGAAAGGAAGAGTGGTGAACTTTACTTTGCCCTGGTAAACATAAATATCATAAAACAATTCCACCTGTTACGTAATCTTTTACTCACTCAGTTAAGATATAGCCTGAATATGACCCATAATTATACAACTATCGATTATCATTTGTAACTTTCACCTCTTCTCCTTCATCTGACTGAATCCATCACATGTAAAATTGATGACCACACGTACAGCTTTCAATTTCGTCTTTTGATTCATTTTCCCAATATTCTATCTCGTTTCGAAGATCCATCACGGGCTTATTAAATAAAGTATATCAAGCCATCATTTAAAACTTGATTATTGTGTGCTATAATTTTAATGTTTAGAGCAAATGCGGAACCTTAAAACTGTATGGATTTTTTCTTTAGCTGCAGTTTTTTTTCTTGCTTTGGTCAAAATTGTCGAGTGAACTGTGTTGAATGAAGTTGTGTTAAACTTTATACTGGTTAACTTCGATTCAACTAAGACAAACAACCTGAATAATATTACGTGTTCAGTTATGTAGAATTAGCTAACTAGTTAGAGGACTCTGTAGCGCTATGTTAAGCCCACACAACTTATTCTAGCTTCCGGACAGGCCAACCTATTCATTCTTAAGTCATGTTTTGACCCTGTTAATTTATTCGCTTATCAACTTTGACTGTTTTTAGTGAGCGTATGTCTGAAATTCTTATTCTGCTCATCACATGTCTGTAACGTATTTCTATCTGATTATAAATATCGATTAACGCGTGATTAAATTGAGTTGGCTCACATTCATTCTCCGTCGCGCATTATTTCACTTCACTCTCTTCGCTTTCGTTTCGTCCCTCTGATTGTCTGTCCAGATCAGTGAATGTACAAAATATACATATTCAAAATCCATTCTCGTATTTGATTTATTTAATTCCGTTATTCATTAACGCAAGTTAAGTCGATGATTATTTACGAGGATTGGAGACAATGTGTATATTTCAATAACGATCATTTATACGATCTAAGTGATGTCAGATATTAGGCCTCTAAAGTGATGATCCCGTCGATAACATCGCCTGATCTAATTGGTGTCAAAATAACGGGCTACTGAAACTCAATTTCAAATTATTATAAGTTTAAACTGTTCCATTTAATCGTACTTCAGAATAGTTTTTAGCAACACTCATTTTTACATGGAAAATTATGATTTATAATTGAGTTGAATAGATGGACCTCTACTTGGATTTCAGTGTTAAATTGTTTACTCAGGATATTTTATATTATCTGTTGGCTTTTATTAGAATAATTTCCCAAGCATATTCCATACGAATCTCAGTTTAATATTAGCCCGACCGTTGTTGCTACCTTGACGTGGTGGTCGGGATTGCCTATCGTGATGAAGCAACCGAACTATACTGGCTGGAACAACCGTTCCTCAAGGTCCTACCATGTCAGACAGGTCGGTTGAAGAGTGGTGAGACTAAAAGTAACAAACCTAAGGTCCGAAGGCGAAGTCGTACTGCTGACTGTACAGAGGTGTGACAGCAGTAAGGTGTTTCCTTCAGACAACCAGCATGACAGCGATGCTGCCTTCCCACAAGGAGGGGTGGGGTTAGAAAAGGTCGACCCTAAAAATGCACACCTCACCTTACCTCACGGATTTCCGTCTCCGGCGGTAAGGCTCTTTGAAGAACGGAGCTAACACGTCAAAAACCTTCCACGAAAAGGCCGTGCGCGATCGGCCTCAAGCAGTTGTCCCTTGGGCACTGCGGTCACGCTCTCAGGTCGCTGAGACCGCCTCTAATCCAATTTCCTTTTCAGGCACCTCCAGAAGAACCCTTCCATGGTGTGGGCAACCGGGAAGTGATAACCGCCCTCATACCTCTAACAGCACCCAAGACCACTGTATTCATAATCAACCTTCCTCTTCAATTCCTATTATTCTTCCTACATCGTCTTTCAACCCTAAACTTCCTCCTTCGGCTTCTTCCTCAAGTGTCACCATAGCCAACGATTCTAGTGCTCAAAACTCTGTCCCAGGTCTACTGAAACCTCGCTCCAAACTACACATTGGAGCTTTCAACGTACGCACTCTACGTCAAATCGGTCAGCAGGCTTCCTTGGCTAAAACCCTAGAGTCTCTATCCATCGATGTATGCTGTGTCTCCGAAACACACATACAGGATTCCAGTGTGGTCATTCACTTGACCTCACCTCGGCAAAACGGAGAGCCAACGAGATACACCCTTCGTGTATCTGGTGACCCGATGGCCAGTTCTCGTGGACTGGCAGGTGTAGGCATAGCACTAAGCATGAGGGCGGAACAAGCACTGCTAGAGTGGATCCCCGTCAACAGTCGTCTATGTGCTGTTCGGCTAAACGGCTCCGTAAGAACTCGGAAGGATAGGGACACACGTCGTTGCCTTTTTGTCGTTTCTGCCTACGCTCCCACTGACTGCAGCTCAGATGATGTGAAAGATGAATTTTACAGAAAGCTTTCTGAACTTCTTCAGAAAGCTAAACGCTCAGACATAGTACTCGTAGGGGGTGACTTTAATGCTCAGATAGGTAGCTTAAACCAAACAGAAAGGCATTTAGGTGGATATTTTAGCATTCCGGCACAGCGAACAGATAATGGTGACCGTCTGCTGCAACTGTGCTCAGATAATCGCTTATTTTTAGCAAACACAAATTTTAAGCATAAGGAAAGACATCGTCTAACATGGCGACCCCCTACATCAAACCAACGATGGACTCAAATAGACCATATTGCCATCAGTCATCGTTGGAGAGGGTCGGTAGAAGATTGTCGCTCATTCTGGAGTACCTACTTGGACTCCGATCACGCCCTAATACGGGCACGCATCTGCTTGCGCCTCACCGGACGCAAAAAAGCCACATTAAAAAGACCCATTAGAACTGAGTTGAGTAACGGGAAAACCAAAAGTAGGTTCCAAGAACAACTGAGTTCACACTTAGGTAGTTCTGAAGGCGAGGCTGACCTAGATGTTGCTTGGAAAGACATACAAGCAGCTGTGGAAGCAGCAGTGACATCTATTGGCAACTTAAACCACAGAGTTTCATAGAACCAGTGGATTTCTTCAAAGTCTATCACACTGATGGATTTTTGCAAACTCGTCCCATCAGGTTCCGAACATGATGAAGAACGACAACAAATCAGACCTAGGTTAAGAAAAAGTCTAAGAAACGACCGTGAGCAGTGGTGGGCAACGAAAGCAAAAGAGATGGAAAAGGCGGCGGTTATAGGGAACACAAGACAGCTTTACAGACTAATAAAAGAAACTGGAATTAATAAGTCAAGTGTAAGTGAGATTATATCGGAAAAAGACGATACACTCATCTGCTCCCAGTCCAGGCGTTTAGAACGATGGGCGGAACATTTCAGAGAACAGTTCAGCTGGCCTTCAGCTACTCTACAACTACCCTCCATTCCCAGACAGAGTGAATGGAACATTGAAGTAGGTCCCCCAACTCTTGCTGAAGTTCAAAAGCCTATAGATAATCTGAAACGAGGAAGGGCAGCTGGTCCGGATGGACTGGCTCCAGAAGTCTTTAAGGATGGTGGTCCAATTTTAGCGGTTAGGTTGACTAATATTTTATCTAAGATCTGGGAGTTAGACGTTATTCCATCTAACTGGTCACAATCACTTATCGTCCCAATATATAAGAAAGGGTCAAAATCATCCTGTGACAACCGCAGAGGGATTAGTTTAACTAATATAATATCTAAAATACTAGCCTCAATAATAATCAGACGCCTAACTAAGACTCGTGAACTGCAAACACGAGAAAACCAAGCTGGCTTCAGACCTGGTCGTGGCTGCATCGACCACATATTCACCATTCGTCAGGTTCTAGAACACAGGCATACTTATCGGCGTCCGACGATGGTGGTCTTTCTTGACTTAGAAGCAGAATTTGACTCGGTAGACCTCGAGATTCTGTGGCAGTGTCTGTCATTGAAAGGCGTACCCCAGAAGTACATAAACCTTGTAAAGGCTCTTTACTCGAACACTACTAGTCGAGTGAGAGCTTATGGAGAACTGTCATCTACTATTGCAACCTCAAGTGATGTCCGTCAAGGATGTCCACTTTCCCCATTTTTGTTTAACTTCATCATAGATCTACGAATGGAAATAACTTTCTCGTCGACTGAGTTCTCGGGTATTGATCTCCATCCAGGAGGTCCACTTATCGACTTAGAATACGCAGATGACATAGTCCTGTTTGGTGAAGACGCTGACAAAATGCAGAGTCTTCTGGTAGCACTGAGCAACAATGCCAGAATGTTTGGAATGCGCTTCTCTCCCTCTATATGCAAGTTGTTGCTTCAGGACTGGTCTGCGTCAACACCTGCACTAAGGATAGGGAGTAAAGTAATCAAACGCGTCGATAACTTCATTTGTCTTGGACGCCTGATCAGCCCCAATGCGTTGGTGTCTGACGAAATCTCTGTACACATTCAGAAAGCTCGTTTGGCTTTTGCCAACTTACGTCACCTTTGGCGAAGGCGAGATATCCGTCTATCAATAAAAGGACGAGTATATTGCGCGGCAGTTCGTTCTGTTCTACTTTACGACTGCGAAACATGGCCATTAACAGTAGAAGACAGCCATAAGCTACTAGTATTTGACCACAGATGCCTTAGAAATATTGCTGGCGTCTTTTGGGATCACCGGGTAAGTAATAGTGAGGTTAGACGCAGGGTATTAGGTAATGATGGTAAATCAGTTGATGAGGTTATGAATCTTCATCGACTGAGATGATCGGGCCACGTGTTACGTATGCCGGAACACCGATTACCACGACGTACAATGCTAACCGGTGTTGGAGATGGTTGGAAGAAAGTTAGGGGCGGCCACACCAAAACGTGGCATCAGTGCTTGAAAACACTAACCTTTAGTCTGAGCCATGTTGGTAGATGCAGACTACTTGATTGGGGTCCGCGTGACTATCGTAACCAATGGTTGGAGACTCTTGGTGACATGGCTCAGAATCGATCACAATGGCGTCGGTGCATACACTTCCTGTCTTCCCTTAAACTAAGAGATTAAAATCGCTTCATATCTTTCTTTCTACGAACCAATTCTTTCTTCTTGTACTATATCTCCATATGCAATCTTTCTCTTATATATTACCACCTTTTACCTAACCACTGTTATGAATCCGGTGTTCATCTTGTTGTGCTGATGCGGTATGGCAACCTGGACCGATGCACATATGTGCCTGGTCCTGCGTTGTAGCTGACTGACTGACTGACTTAATATTATTTAGAGGATGCTTATTTTCGCGTATTTTTTTAAAAAATAATTCTTATAATCTTACTCAGTAATTGTAAATGAAAATTGTTGTTAACCTTCGATTCTATATATTGTTTTTTAGGTGTTCTTATTGATCACTATAGTTTCATTACAACTTGTTTGATAATGTTATTTCTTTGTTTAATATCGGTGGGAATGTTATGGTGTTTACCAGAAACACAGTCTTTCAATATACAAACAGCTGATATCTCTTCTTTTAATAATAATTTCAATGCTAATGTCTCTGTGTGTAATACAGAATTTTATTCATCTAATCAGTCAGAATCATATAAGAAAAACTGGCTTTTGAAGTCAACTGAGATGATTAATGTAAGTTATTACAAATGTATTTTCTGGTTCAGAGGTTATCAATGTCAAACACTCACAATTTAAACGAAATTGAAGTCCATGAACCTTCAAGTTTTGTAATGTACACAATACTAGTGAATCATGAGGTTACATTTCTATGAGGATTAACATGTTCAATTCCAGTTAATTTTAACTGGTCAACAAATTTATGTTAGTTCGTTAAGAAAACCATAACACTGACTAAAGATCACAATATACTGCAAACTTTTAAAATTATAGGGCATTTACCATATAATTCTAACCAAAGGATTCCGTGGCATTCAGCCTACAATATCGTTTAGATATTCATTTTGTCGATTTCTTGTGAGGTAGATGTTTGGAATGAGAATTAACTATCTAGTATTATATCTGCTCTTCAATATCCGTTGGCTTAAAGATATTCCTGGTTTGTTTAAAAGTTCTAGGAATGTCATATTTTTTGAAAACCTTTTTTTTGTCTATATAGTTTATTTACTCCTGTTTTATTATCTCTACGTGTGTCAACTTGAAATGATCCCGATTTTCTGTTTGGTATCATAATTTATCTTCAAAAAAGCCAAACGTTTTTAAAATAACTATCAGTTATATACGAAGTTTTTAAGAGTTGGCACTTATCTAATGTATCATTTGATTAGGTGATTGTATTTCTAAATTATGTAAGAAAGTGATAGCAGATGGTTAAAGTAGGATAACTAGTCATTGATGTTAAAATTTTTGTACTGTCAGTTTCATTTCATGTTTCTATTTAATGGTCAGCGACATCCTGTTGCACAAAATATTCCGTTGTTAAATTAGTCAAAACCAGTTATCAAATCAATTTGTTTGTTATGATTCTATGTTTTCATCATAATCTATGTAAAGAGTAGTATTTTTTCCTGAATATTATTTCTTTTCATTCATAGACTAAGCTATGTTTCCTGTTATTCAGTTGCACAATGAGATAAGAAGTTTTGATTGAAGAAGAAGGATAACTTGTTATTGACTGATTGTATCATCAGAATAGATCAGTTCAGATTATCAGATTATCATCCAATCCGTCATTTTGGAAAGACAACTGTTTATTAGGTTTACTGATTCAAAAAATAAACTCATCTTTGTTAATATAATACTTAATTTCTGATAATAGTTTCTTCCTCGACACTTTCACATAATTATTATGACGTACTCTATTGGTAATGTACATTTATATGCATACATGAATTGATTAAATATATATAAAATTATATTTTCCTTCTCAGTAATGTTTTTTCACCACATGTTTTAGTCACATGGTACTCAGGTTTCATTTTGGAAATAGTATTTTTCTCAAAATTCTAGCCTTAAGATAATACATAAATCCAAATTGTTATTTAATGTTGATAAATTATAGTACAAACTGAAATGAACTCACTAAACTGGATACAGTAGACTATAGACTCATATTGCCAAATTTAAAAATGACAGAAACAAAATAGATAACGTTAAATTCGTTTTACTGTTATCTTTTATGAATGTTAAATAAAAGATGAATACTTTTGTAGTTCAATCTCGTTATATTCACATTGAGCTATTCATTATAGTTCGGTAAAGTTTTGTTTATTGAACGTTTCAATGAAAAGTATCATGGTTAAATTTTCGCTAATTTCTTAATATACAATGAAATATTTCGTCATGGAACAAATCAATCTAAACATATCAGAATTCACTACAAATCTGATATTTTCCTTCTTTGTTATATTCATGTTGCTGACCAGTAAATACGGTAATATGCGAATTCAATGAACACTGAGAATGGTGAACTATTTGTATTTTGATTATTTGAAAAGGCATTAAATGATCATTCATAGAAGTATATCACCAATTAAAATTCGTTAGTTATTCCTATTCCCTAAAGATACATTTATACACTTCGGTTTACATGATCTACCTTTTGCACTTGATATACTACTTAACAAGGATGCAACATGAAAGACTCGGTTAAACGACATATATATTGGTCAATGACCCAGTTTTTAGTAACCAGTATTATCATTTTCAGTAAACCTGTAATTTTCTTTCAGTGTCTCACTAATTACCACTTGTAAGCCACGATTTTTCTAAAGTGAAAAAAATGTTAATCAAAGTTAGGTTTATGGTACAAAGCTGAAGATTGCTCATCCTAAGCCTTAAGGATTTTGATCAGATGAATAATAAGTTAGAACTAGTTAAGACGGTATATTAAAGTTCAAATCACTTCCAATACTTTTTTATGTTCTCAGTCACTATTTGACTACTATGGTTACGTAATAAAAACATAAACGCTTTCACATCCTCTCATTCAATTAATCCCTTAACCTGCCAAATAATTTTTTCTGAAGTTAAACAGTTTGCTTACAAATACAAAAGAAGCACCACAGATGATGCTATTGTTCTGCATTACAATATAGTGTTCAGCCTGGAAATAGTAACAGGTATGTTTGATAAACATTTCTAGACTATACTCATGCCTTTGACTCTATGCTATGACAACTACTGCTTAAAAAGTTTGTCAAAATCAACATTGAAAGCTGGATAACCAACTGGCTGCGTTCCTATCTTTCTGAAAGAGAACAGTACAGAGTATTTGGAGGAAAGTGTTCAGCGTCTTTGCTGACCCATGAAATTGTGCCACAAGGAGCATTTTTTAACCCTCTTCCTTTCTCTACTTTTCTTCATGACTTGCCATCTCCCACAGAAAAGACTTCCGCTGAATATGCGGACGATCTCACTGTATGCATGTCGATTTCTACCTCTGCACATCCACTTGAAATGAATGAGTTCTTGTCTCTTGTTGAGCGATAGTCTGTTGTTAATTGTCGCACACCTAATCCTTTTAAATGGTAAACTGTTAACTTTAGCCTGTGGTAAGAACAGCTCTCAAACACCCTATTGGGATCATATAAAGCTTTTACTATTGGAGATTCTGTAGTGAAAACTCTGTCAATAGTCATTTATCTTGGTGTGCGAGTTTCCTCTGATCTCTCCTGGTCTTCTTATATTTGTGTTATCGAAAAACATTTTCCATTTGACGTACTATATAAAAGGGATACATTTACTTTTACGATTTGTTGATTCTTGCATAATATTATTTTTTTTGCAACTCCCATTACACTTTTCCAGGTTTTTAAGAAAAGATTTTGCAGTATTGCGGAGAAAGCTGAAGGCAGTTAGTAGAGTGGATAGGTTTTTAGATAGATATTTAAAGTCTTGCAAACCCCTAACAAGTGTTATCAGATACTAACCATCCACTTCATTTATATCTTTCTTCTTGTATATCATCTAGTAAGATGAGGCGCCAATGCATTACAATCCACGCACTCAAACAAAGATATAAAAGCTCTACAATACTTAATCTAACAAATATACTATGTGATAAATAGCTCGTTAGAGTTTACCTAGTCAATAACTTGTATTCATAAACATGTTTCTAATTGAAAGGTTGTACAAATCTTAATCTTAGTAAAAAGCATTTCATTCAATTCCAGGTAGTTTATTTACTTAATTTATTCATATGTGTATGCAGTTAACAGTTTCTCGACTTCGTTCTCTTTTTTTGTAAAACAAACTTGTTGAAATACTTTGTGCTAAGAATTTTATATTGTTGTAGACAAAATGGACATTCAGCGTACATCTTAAGAGCACTTTTTTTAGACTATCGTCAGGCAAGCCGATGTTGATTTGTTTTTCTGATATTTGCTTGCATATAAACTCAATAGTCTCTATAAGTGGTACGTTGGTGAAAAAAGATATTACATCCACTGAGATCATATTTTTCATACTAACACTCATATTTTCCACTTTGGAGGTGAAGTCGAAGACATCTTTTACACTATTTCTAACAACTGATTTGTACAAAGGCCCTAAGATTCGCACTAGCCACTTTAACATTTTGTGGTATGGAGAATTGTGCATACCTTAGGACTGGGCGTAGAGGAAGACCCAGTTTATGAACTTTAAACAAACCGTACAGTCGTGATGTATATGATCCAGTTACCTTAATTGAATCATGAATCTCAGTCGTAATTATTTCCTTTTTCTTTAGATCCTTAAGGAAATTGGCTAATTGATTTTCTACTCTATTATTGATGTCATAATTACTAGTAACTTTCTGAAATTTTCTAGGATCGCTAAGCAGTTTCCATTTTTTTCGATGTAATTCATTTTGTTCGTGAGAACTATACCTTCTCTTTTATTTTTGTCTTCAACAATACTTATTATAGACAAATAGACGGGATAGTCATGGGCTCACCTCTAGGCCCGATTTTAGCTGATCTCTTCCTAGCAAAGCTAGAAAATGGATCTCTTAATGAAACTACTAAGGAATTTTATATTGTACCAAAAATATATTGAATAAAGCCATTAATAATAATAATAATAAACCTACAATAAACTGGCTAATTAATAATACATATATATTTTTCGCTCTATCCCAATTAGTAGAAAAATTTTATTTCTGACATTTCGTGACTTTTAATGCACGTCAATTCTCTAGAGTAAACAAAGGTTTTTAATCATAGTGATAAAATTCAATTCTGACTAAAGTTTTTAAAATTTTTAAACTACTCAAATATCACAGTATTATTCTTATTTATTTTAGCTAGTTCGAAATGCCAATATTATCACAGTTTTAGTCTTAACAGTTTTGTTCTTGACAACATTGACTACATATAATGAAGGTCAATATACATTTTTATATTTAATGGGACCTCCATTCAATTGGTCTGTTGATCAGTATGGTTATTTTAGGTAAGTTAAATTATAACAGTTTACATAAACAATACTTATGTGTCCAATTGTAATATACAAAATAACATACAAAGTATTTTTCTTTTATTAGTGGATTAAATTCTACTCTCCTGGGTTTATTGTCGTTTGGATTAACTTGGATTACTACTCGTTGGATGAAAGTTGTTAAACGGCATCGGATATCTGAAGCATCAGAACCTTTACTGACTAATCAATCAGTTTCCGCGTACAATTCTATCCATGAAGTTGATTCAATTGATAATAATAATAACAGTAGTAGTAGTCCATCGAATATAATTATTCAAAACGAAGTATTACGAGCACGTCGACGTATGATAAAGTATGTAATATGTGGAATGATTGCAATTGTAATTAGTAAATTGCTTATGGGATTAGCATTTTTGTTTCCTTCACCTGGTCATAATATTGCAGTATTTGTTAGTAAGTTTTGTTTTTCAAGAGATATATCTGTGTATTTTTTGTATGTGATTTCTGTTTAAAATCACCCTACTGTTTCGTAATATTTACCATATTACGTAATTCAATTAATTTATATACAAATGATGAAAATGTTAAAATTTTTATGATCTTAAATAAGTGAATTTTTGAATTTATCCAACCATAGGACATTTTTTGGAATATTTTATCTACACCACAGTTGAGTCACTTCCCGGATAGCTCAGTGGTAACGTTTCTGACTGTGAAGCTGGGTGACACGGGATCGAACCCGTCAAGGAGCACCAGTTCCCTCAAGATTACAGATACACCTTGCTGACGAGTGCCAAGTAGCACGAAACCCGGGTCCAGGGTTTCCTGTCGACTACCTCCAACCATCTAATGGTAAGGCTTGCTCTAACTGAAATACGAATTATGAACTTCGAATCTATGACATTGTGATTAGTCTATCTTTGCTCAAACTAATATAGTCAAATGACTGATCACTCAGTAGTGATGAGTGTCACATTCGTCTAGTCCTTTTGTCGGTTAAGTTTTAATATGGCAACTAATTTAAGTAACACGACATCGTATACACTATGTTGATATGTAAATTGGTTGAAGGTAGTTGATAGAAAATTCTAGATTTGATCTTTGAGATTGCTGGCACTCGTCAGCAAGGCAGTACCTGCAAACTTTAGGGAGGTAATAGTGCGTGTGAAGCTTTAATCCATGTCACTTAGGTTCAAAATCTGTGTTGTTACCACTAAGCTATTCGGGTCGTAACTTATCTCCTATATAACTACGATATTTACAACTGATTCGTCACTAAGTAGTGACCGATGTCATATATGTCTAGTCCTTCAGTGTTGATTGAATGCTAACAATCAATTTGCAATTATGAATATCTTAAATGAAGCCAGAACAAATATTGATTCAGAATAATATGAATTAGTTATATTTCATGCTTTCTCATTAGCTGCTTACAACCGAATGTTCGCATTTCTGAGCATGTTTCAAAGAAATTGAGGCTGAGAGAAACTAGGGCTCTCAACAGTGCAGTAGCTCGGCATTTACTTGACACCGGGCATACCATTTACATTCCTCATGCTTTTAAAATTATTAGCAGACAAAGAAATACGGCTTCTCTCTGTTTTGATGAAGCGATCGCGATAAAAAAAATCAAAAAGAGTCAGTAATAAACTTACTACTACCCTAGTAATCCATTTATATTGGTCACTAGTTTTATTTTGTTAATGTTTAGTCTGTGTTATATTCCTCTTCCATTACTGAATTCTTAAACCACCCTTTTACTCTTACATTTCCACTCACTTGATTCTCTTAAACTATGTGAACTCTTCAAATTCTATTCAATTATTACGTAACTCATCTTATCAGTTTTTATATTCCATGAATTTTATGTAAACCCTTCACTACCTCTAAAATTTATCACACAATTTATCTGTCTTTGAACTCCACTCAACTATTACACCACCTATCCTTAATGTTATCATGACTCTAACACTAAATAACCTCTGACCTGTTCTTACATATATATATATGGTTATCATTGATAACCTTTGTCATTCCAATCCTTTACATTAACTTATGTCAATTGTTCCATACTATTTCTTATCTCATTGTAAAAGTCCAATACATATTTGGTTGCAAGCACGATGAGAAACCACGAAATATAATGAATTCATATTATTCTGCATCAGTATTTGTTCTGGCTTTATTTAAATTTATAAAGGGAACTAATTGCATGAAATTTATGAATATCTTAGTCCTCCAGGTGATCATTTGCTGTGACTGCACTAGGGCATTGGTTAATGTAACATAGCAAAGTTAAATGTAAACTAGTCTTTTAAATAGCATTGAAACAAGTAGTTTATTATTATTATTATTATTATTATTATTATTATTATTATTATTATTATTAATGGCTTTATTTAATATTATATTTTGGCACAATACGGAAATTCTGAGCACAGGGTATTTCGACAAGTTTCTTACACAAAAAACAGAAACAAAGACAAAAAAGGAATTCAAATTAGAGACATGTTAAGAATGCAGGTTATTGACTAGGTTAACTCTAACAACCTGTTCGTCACAAAGTATATTTGCTAGGTAAGGTATTATAGAACTTTTGTACTTTTGCTTGCGTGCATGGATTTTAACGTAATTACGTCTCCTTCTACCAGAAGCTATACAATGAGAAAGATAAGAGTGAAGGGGATGGTTAGTATCTGATAAAATAACACCTGCCAGGCGTTTACATAACTTTACGTCTATCCACAACCATATTAATTATGACCTTGAAAGATTCACCACACATCTTGCTAACTGCCTTCAACACTCTCCGCAATGCAGCAAAGTCTTTTCTTAAAAGCCCGGGGAAGAATAATGGAGAACAGTAAAGAATAATAGGTAATAAGCAAGAATCGACAAATTGTAAGAGTAAATGACGAGTAATCCCAAGAGCATGCAATCTCTTTATGTAGTAGGTCAGACGGAAAGCCTTCTTCGATAACAATAAAACGTGAGAAGACCAAGAGAGGTCAGAGGAAAAGGTAACACCAAGATAACTGACCTTCGAAACTGTGTTTATCAAAGGGTCTTCAATGGCACAAGCATTATGGGATCTCAAAATGGTGTTTAGATGCCGTTCATGTCTCATGCTAAAGTTAACATTTAGACAAGTATAATATTAAGTATAAGACCACTACCAACAATCAATACGAGACAAAAACTCATTTATTCCTATGGGATGTAAAGAGAAAGAGATAGACATACATACAGTGAAATCATTCGCATATTTCAGAAAAGTGTTTACTGTGGAAAATGGCAGATCATGCCGGAAAAAAAAGAAAAGAAAAGGTGGAAGAACAGCTCCTAGTGGTACACCTTCATGAAACAGTAGAGACTCTGAACACTTTCCTCAAAATACAATGTACTGTTCCCTTCCAGAGAGGTAGGAAAATAGCCAGTTGATTACCCAGCTGTCAGTGTTGACGCTGATTAACTTGTTAATTAAACGTTGTCTTGCTATAGAATCAAAAGCTGAAGTATAGTCCAGAAAAGTTCATCGAACATACTTCTTACTCTTTTCTAAGTTGAACACTATATTGTGATGCAGAGCAGCAACAGCATCTAAGGTACTTCTTCTGCATCTGTAAGCAAACTGATACGGATTAATATGCCCTTTTATCGCACGCTGAATGGAAGTATTAATAATTTTTCCATTGTTTTGAGGAAGGGTGAAGTTATTGCAATAGGTTTAAACTTCACATTTTTATCAACAGATGCTTTCTTGGGTACAGGCATTATCTTTCTCCACATTTTTGGTATGAGATTAAATGAGAAGGATCTGTTAAAGATAGTCGTGAATGGATAACATAGAACGTCAGCAAATTTTTTGAAAAGGGGGTTTACGATACCATCAAGTCTTAAACATTGGGATGAATTAAGTGACTGGAGACATCTTCGGACATCAGTTTCAGTGAAAATAGGAACACAGCTATTCTTTAAACCTGTGGATGAAGGGAGCATTACATCAGATGACTGACGCACAAAAGACTTATTTATGTCACAAACATTCAGCTGGTTATCGCTCCTAATCTGTCTGTCACCTATAAGTTTTTTAAAGAGTTTCCATATACTTGGAGAGTTCTTGAGTAAACATAGAGTTGAGACGTCTAATCTCTAGGTTTATCAGACCATTTAGCTTACGAACTTCATTAGAGTTTTTCTCCTTGCACTTTTTTTCTTTCACCCTCCGTAGTCGTTTTAGTTGTGAAGATGTAAGTCGATCAAAACCTACAAAAGTGGTTTCAGTGGGACAACAGATATCAAAACAGAATTTAAGGTAACAAGTGATAACATCAGTAGTGATTTCCAGTGAGTCATCTGTAAATAATTCCCAATTAGTCGTATGAAACATGTTTTTCAGATTTCGGATATTTCCTTCTGAGTAATTTCTATATTTGACTTTCTTGGTTTGATGTAAGAGTGTACTCCTCCCATGCCTTCCATATACTTTGGGAAGAACATGAATTATACAGTGATCCGAGCTAGACAATGGAGAGCGTTTACGAGTCGCATATATACCCACATCATTAATGAAGACGAAGTCTAAATGAGCATCCAAACGGGTAGAAAAATCTACTACATTTTGGTGACCTAGTGATGTAAGGAAGCTACAGTCACATGAATTGAAATCACCATATACAACTGAAAGTGAATCACTGAAGGCAGTAAGAGCGAACTCAGTGAATTCATCAGAGAAAACAGATAGCGCAGATGATATGCAGTCTGGAGTTACGTAAACATTGGTAACATAAATATATTTGTATTTATTTAGGTGTTTTGGACACCTTAGAGTTAGACAGTCGATAAAGTCATCTGAAAACTTGAAACACGCAAACGAATATCGACACGAGTCCACATTTACAAACGTAGGTACACCGCCGCCACACCTTTTTCTATTGTTCGATCCATCCTGACGATAAATTTTGAAATCACGTAGTGATACTAGGCAGTCGTCCTGTAAATCATTTAACCAAGATTCTTGAATTGTGATGACACCACAATTATGATACATATTTTGGCTTAGTCGGAATCGCAGATAGTCCACTTTGTTGATTAGTGATCGGCAGTTAGAATTTAGCAGCTCGGGAATGGACACACAATTAATGTTCATTCTCTTTAACGCATATTGCCAACCATCACAATGTCTTTTATAGTACTTTTTTGTAACTTCTGTAGCGAAAGGTCGTATGCTTTACATAAACGCGCCTGTATAGTTTATGCGATTAATGGACATAATGAGATGTGAAAACAAAATGTAAAAAACAGATAACTTGTTGAAATAATTAAATGGCAGAAACAGATAGCCCAGATATTCAAGCAGGCCGCCGTTAATATAATGCCCTAGTTTAATTATTTCTGTTTATTTATAACTGTAAGTGTATAAGGTTATATTGTTGTTCTACAGGTCTATTTGTATCTATCTTTCGATCAGCTGTTGTACCGGTTCTCAAATCATTCACATCATCTCTGTATACTTCCAAACTTCAAAGTAAGTGTTTCTTTTTTTATTTAAATTATTTACACTGAAGTACCTAACGAGTGTAGTGTATTGATCATTTTACATTTGGTTGTTTAATTACTAATTTTTAGAAAATATATATAACAGTACATTAAAATTGTTCACTGTCTCAGTGGTCTTTCATCTTTCATTCTCAAGATTTTAGTTTAAATAGTCGAGAATTACTTTTGTTTCAACAAATGAGATTAAGATTTTAATATATACACTAGTTTTGAATAACGGGTACTATTAAGATCATCACAGAAAAATTGGTGTATCATATGGTAATCACTATTAATCTACTATACTATAGATCAAATGTTTTTCAGCGAAGTCTCATATACATGTGGCGTACTAAGATAAAGTCAGGAAATATTAACAACAATAATGTTTTATGGTAGAAGGTTACAATTAAGAAAACGAAGGAATGAAACAGTGACGTAATGTTTAAGGCGTTCAACTGTAAGTTAATAAGTTCTATGTTCAAGCCCTATCTCACCTACTTCTGTTTGAGCATAAGGGTAGTATCATGAATCGTCACACTTGGAGTGTGGCCCCTATCTAAGTACTTTGAGGATGAAGTGATTTAAACAATAATTAATTAATATTCTCATTGTTTGTTAAACATTCTGCCTTCAAAAACATTTTTGACGTAGTATAATTAATCACTTGGCAAGATTGTCAGTGTTTGTCTAACT